TCCGCCAACCGATGCCCCTTGTGCGGACTGGAGGAGGACCACCTACATGTCCCCCGCTGCCCTTCCGACCGGGCCAAGACCCAGTGGCAGCTCCTACTCCAAGAACTCCAAGAATGGTTCCAGTCCAACACCACTGCTACACCCATTGCCCAATTCCTCGGGGCCCTTCTTCGCACCATCCGCACCCCTAGCAACCCGCCTCAAACACAGACTCCGTGGTACCGCCTCCACGGAATATCTTCTTCCGCCCTCACCCAAGTCTGTGAGGCCCAACTCCGCCTTGGCCCCCAATGCCTCCTTGAAGGCCTTCTCGCCCACGGCTGGGCCGACCTCCAGGAACAATTCTACCGCTCTCGCGGTAGTCGCCGGTCCGGTAACCTTTGGGCTGCCAATCTATCTCAACAGCTCATCCTTATCGGTAAAGGCATGTGGAAGCATCGCAATGATGTCTTTCATTCTGACAACAACATCGTCAACCAACAGCGTGCGACTGCTCTCAATCGACGCATACACGACGAGTTCGACATGGGTCCTCGCAACCTGCCTCGGAACCTTCGCCCTGCCATCCGTCGATCCCGCCTTGTAGACGTCCTCCGACTCCACCTGGCGGACAAGGAGGAATGGGTCCTCGTCATCTCCAAAGCCCGCCGCAAAATCAGACGATCTCTTGCAGGCAGGCGACAATTGATGTGGGAACTGACCCACCCTACTCCTCGCCCAGCAGCCCCCTGACTTACTTGTCTACATATTTACCAAAGTGATTCTGGTACCAGTACATCACAAGCCACACGTACCCCAGTCTAACACATACATATTCTCCACCCACCTTGCGTGGAAGAGCCGATCGTCCTTGACCTTCCACTGCGAGCAACGTTCCTCTCTTGAACGCCTCAACGTGGTTCAAACTTTGTTGACCAACAGCAACCTAGTTCCTGGCCTCTACAGCCGTATTACACCGGCAGTTGGATAATCTAGAAGTAGCATAAATACCAATTAATGATTCAGTTATATACACCAACACGGCGATCCTCGCTTCAGACACATGGTTGAAACGAGTCTGGCATGAGCTCAAAGGTTTGGACATCTATGTCGCCTATGACTCTCCAGCCCTCTCCCTTTGATGTACGGACGACTCCCTTCTGATGGATCTCTTCATCAACTTGGAGGTTGAACAGGAGGAACTTTTATGACTCAATTGGTGTCGAATGTTCCTCCAGGTATGCGCAGTGTCTGACATTGTGACTGCTGATGGCAGGTTTATTTGTCGCTCCGCGTGGAATGGGCTCAGGGATGAGTGCTGCCGCTTGCCATACCAATGGCCAAGGACAGCTCGCCCAACAAGGCAACACTGGGACCTGTGGCAGACCACCTTGTCCAGAGCCCTGCTTGCCTCCAACGGGCCACATCACCCACTACAACAGCCCTTGGGGCCATGGACTGACCGTCTGGAGGACTGGAATTGGTTACTGTCCCCCACCACAGGCCTTTTCCACCGCCATGGGGCAACCTGGAAACACTTTTGCTCTGAGGGCTCCCACACCACGTCACGTCGCTACGCACCAGGGCCGTCCCATCCTTCCTGCCCATGGTGGACTGCACCGCTTCCTTCTGACGTTCTTTGTGCTACGGTTCGCTCCATCACAGGATCTGACAGGGTTCTTCTCACCGGTACTGGCCGTGCCTCTGAACCGTCTTCTTCCTCCAGCCCATCCATCCTTCACGCGTGGCAGACGGCTGCCGAGCTCTGCACGGACTATTACGGGTGGGTCCCCGATGAGATTGAGGTTCACGGTGACGAAGCCACCTTAGCTGATGCTCTGTTGGACGGTCGCCTGCGTGTGATCAGCGATGGATCCTTCAAGAACGAGTTGGGGACCGCGGCGGTTCAAATCCTGGTGAAGCATGGAGGATGCCATCAAATCATCATCCGGTGTCAGACTCCCGGTTTGCCCCAGGACCAGAGTCCATACCGCAGCGAGCTCATTGGTCTGTTGGCCGGTATAATGGCGGTTGATTGGCTCCTTGAGCAATGGTTCCCAAACATTTTGACTGGCCCCAAGGTGCGGATTGCTTGCGATGGCCTCTCTGCTATTGAGATGGCTTTCGAAGATCGTCCACTGTCTCCAACTGATGCCCAGTTTGACCTGGTATCGTCCATTCGGGAAGCGATCCTTCGGTCCTCGGTGGATTGGGCGCCCCAGCACGTGTATGGACACCTCGACAAGTCCAATCTCTTTGACGAACTTTCTTGGTGGGAGAAACGGAACCTTGAGGTGGATGGAATGGCGGTGGAGTACCGTAAGGAACTTGAGACGGCCAATCATCTTATAGCCCCCAACCCTCGTTTTTTCACTGAACTTGCGGCAATGTACGTGGCCGACACCAAACAGTCATGCCTTGATCCCCAGTTCATCCAAGAGTGTGTGACTCTTCGGGCCCTACGCTCCCGCTGGAGGGACAAAGGTACTATCTCCGCTGAAGCCGAGTCTGAGATTGCCTGGGACACAATGGGTCGCGCCATGCAATCTCTTCCTGCAGGACTACAAAGGTGGTCTACTACTAATAATAATAAAAATCCGGGAGTGAACCTCTACCAAGGAAAAGACCAACCTAGAAAAGGTAAAGGTAAATATATATAACTGATGCATTAATCGTGTTAAAACTATCTCAAGTTTCTAGATTGCCGTTAACGGCTGTCATGGCCATTTACCATACGGAGGTGAGTCCAGTACTGTTGAACCAGTTTGAGGCATCCAATCCCAAGGAAGTTGCTCTATCGCATATTACATTGCACCCTTGCACATGTAGAGAGACGATCTTGCCACTCGAGGCAGCGTATTTTTATTTTGTTTTCTGTGTTTTTTCTTTTGTTGTGCTTGCCTGTATTGAAGCTTGATTTAACCTTAGGTTATTGCTCCCTTCTACCCTGAATATATCAATCCAAATGAATGGAGAGCGTCCCATGGGCACAGTGTTCCAGAACATTGAGGTTGGTACAAGCATCAAAAAGGCGGCTGGTTGTAGTCTAAGGAGAAGCAAAGAGGGTCAGAGCCAGTAGTTTGTATCTTGGCATGGTGAGGCTGCAGATCAGTGGTGTTGTGCCTAGCTGTCTGTGGGAATGATGACAACATTTGAACATCCATAAAGGGAAATCAAATTGAGGCATCTGCCAATCGACAGAAGGCTGATGGAAGAGATAGCAATTTCCTTGCAATAGTAGGTCGCCAAGGGTTGGATTGTTGCAATAGGTGTGCTTGGGAGACCTTTCAAATTTGTCAGCATAATGCTGGAAAGGTTTATCCTCAACAACATCTTGGAGGTCCATTGGAGATGGTGCTCGGGCGCTGGAGACCTTTCGGATGGCCTTGTCTTCCTCATCATCGGAAACTGATTTGATGGCACCGCCAGAATCATCAGGAATGCCCAAAAAGGGTGCAAAGAATGGGCAAGATTGGACCATTTTTGCTTGTTCTTTTTGGACAAAATGACTTCTGAAATAATAGATATCCCAGTTTGCTTTCTGATCGTGAATCTTGATGTTATCCTCGTCGTCATCATCGATTTCGTCGCTGTCATCGTCGTCCAACAAGCCCAAAAAGGCAGAGGCATCAAATGGGCAGATTTTGGCCACTTTTCTTCTTTTTGGACAAGGCTTACAGGAGCATAATATGAATCATGTTCGGATACTGTTTGTGCTCTGGGGACCTTGCCTGTCTTTCTTTTGCTCATCTTGATCCTTGGTTTTCCAGTTGAAAACAACCTCTTTTTTTCCAGCGTCGCTACGGCTGCTCCATGTAGGAGAAGTACTAGAGGTGATGTCTTGGAACCTGGATGTGCGTGTTGTTTTTAGTTTTTGGTTTTTTCGGAATATACAAAGGTGGTCTACTAAACATTGTGTGGGCATGTGCGGCACAGGCAAATTTAAAGTTCTATGGGGTCTGGAGACATCAGCAGCTTGCCCACGCTGCGGCAACTTCAAGGATCATCTGCATGTTCCCCGCTGCAACAGCTGAATGGGACCGTCGCACTGCAGCCTTCTCCGCGTGGCTAGACCTGCAACTGACGGGCCCTTCCATCAAAATAGCAATCCTACAGCTTCTTCAGGGCGTTTGCACACCTCCTTCATTTCCCCCAAGGCCCATCTCCTCTTTGGTTCGGCCGGCCTTCTTGGCTCAGCAGGTGATTGGGTCTCAAGGCCTTTTGGAGGGACGCATCGCCTTGTCTTGGCTTCCACTCCAACAACAATATTATGACAAGATAAGATGTTGACAATTGCTTGCGTTGACTCTTGGAAATCATGGTGTCAGGATTATCCTTGATGAAATCGGTCGACAAAGGAGTGGTAGAGTTTGATCAAGCTTTGGCCATGGAGCCATCCTGGCCTTGGGCAACGTCAGATGGGAAGAGCGAACGGCCTTTCATTGCGCCATCCTCGGCGGTTTTTGAAGGGTATCGCTTGCTGCGGCGCTTGGGAGTTGTGATGGCAGGGTTGTCCTTGGTCAGAGCAATCGACGATTGAGTGGTCGAATTTGATCGGTTTTTTTCCTCGAGACCTCCCTGACCTTGGTCAGCTACAGTCATGATTGAATTCGGATCCTTCTCCGGCGGGTTGATGATGCTATCCTTCATGTTGGTGTAAATTTAGTTCTGGTTTCAACAACAACAACTGTTTTCCTTTACATACGAAACACGTAGGACTGGAACAGTTTTGTTTTGGAGAAGCGTGTGACTTCTTCAGTCCACCAGAGGAATTATATCAGCACAATCGATCTATTATCGTCTGTATTGATCACATGGAGATCGAGAATGCTAAGTTTCTCACCTGCATTGATACCACTGTGCGTTATTGCTCATGTATTCCCGTGCAGAACCTGAAGACTGACCCTGTATTTGAAGCATTGGATAAGATATTCCGCCGTTACAACAAGACAGGCTTTCAAGTCAAGATCATCTTTACATGGATAAATGAGAGATACGGAGGACTAAAGGAAGTGACTTGCACACGGGGACAAGTTCACACCTATCTGGGAATGACATTGGATTATTCAAAGAAAGGAAAGTTGAAGATTCGAATGGACGATTATGTCCAAAGAATGCTCGACAAGTTTTCTGTCAAGTGTAAAGAAGATGACAAACAGGAAACACCTGCTGGCAATAATTTGCTGGAGGTAGGAAAAGGAAAACTATTGGATAAGGATCAACAGGCCGAGATTCACAGGTTTGTTGCAAAACATTTGTTTTTGACCAAACGCGCGCGTCTGGACATGCATCTGACGGTGGCAATTTTGGCATCACGAGTTCAAAATCCAAATCAGAGTGATTGGCATAAACTCGTGAGACTTATGAGATACATGCACTCTACCAAGAAATGGCATCTCACGCTGAGCGCTGACAACCTTCGTGTAATGAAGTGGTATGTTGATGCGTCTTTTGCGGTTCACCCTGACTTTAAGAGTCACACAGGAGGAGTGATGACCATGGGTGGTGGAACTATGCAGGCTATGTCCATGAAACAGAAGTTAAACAGCCGCAGCAGTACACATGCGGAACTAATCGGAGTAGATGATGCAATCACACAAGTGTTGTGGACACGTATGTTCATGGAAGAACAGGGTTATCCAATTGAGAAGAGTATCTTGTACCAAGACAATATGAGCTCTATTCTCCTCGGAAAGAACGGGAGATCAAGTGCAGGAAAGAGAAGCCGCGCATTGAACATCCGCTATTTCTTTGTCACTGATCAGGTTGAGAAAGGAAATCTTACGATCAAACACATGCCAACCGATGACATGTGGGGGGAATATATGACGATACCTTTGCAAGGGGACAAGTTCCGCAAATTTTGGGCATTGATCCAAGGGGATCAGGAAGATTAGATATGACCGTCTTGGGTTATATATACACGTTACATATTAAATGAAGAAAGGATTCGTTATTGCAACTGGAGTTGTCGAAACAACAGGAGTGTGTTGGTGAAATGGGATCTTAATAGATAAAAGAACAGTCGAACATGTCTGACAGTGAAGTCGGACATTTGTGATATCGAACACGGACAGGAGTACGGATCAAGTACGTACAGAGATGAATAAGTATTGAAGGTAGATCTACTCTGTGACTAGTTTGTGAAGAACATGTGCGTATGTGCTTTATATGCCGCGACAGCTGGTGAGAGCTGACGCAGATGGCTTCCGGAAGAGATTTTTTGTGCCTGCTTGTGGAGATCATTGTTGATCGACTTCTGGCAAGAATAGCAGTAGAATAAGATCTAATAGGAAGTGGTGAGACTGTTCATCCGCAGGTTGAAGCCCAGCATCACTGGCACCTGTTCCTATTGTAGGCAATCCATAGCCGACGTAGATTCGAGCTCAGTATACTCCAGAGGTAGCTAGAGCATAAAAATCAGAGCATAAAAATCAAAAATCAAAAACTAAAAGGTAGAAAATATTTTTCCTCACTCTTCTCCAAAACAAAACTGTACCAGTCCTACGCGTTTCGTACGTACAGGAAAATAGTTGTTGTCGTTGAAACAGGAATTAAATTTAAGCCAACATGAAGGATAGCATCATCAACCAGCCGGAGAAGGACCCGAATTCGATCATGACTGTAGCTGACCAAGGTCAGGGAGGTCTTGAGGAAAAAAAAACCATCAAATTCGACCACTCAGTCGTCGATTGCTCTGACAAAGGATAACCCTGCTATCATGACTCCCAAGCGCAGCAGCAAGCGAACCCCTTCACCAACCGCCGAGGATGGCGTAATGAAAGGTCGCTCGCTCTTCTCTTCTGAAGTGGACCAAGGTCAGGATGACCCCACAGCCAAAGCTTGATCGGACTCGACCACTCCTTTGTCGATCGATCTCACTAAGGATAATCCCAATCCCACGAACACCAAGAGCCAACGCAAGCAACCCCCTCCTTCCAAAACCGCCGAGGATGGCGCAGTGCAAGGACGGCCGCTCGTTGCCTACACCAAGAAACTCAAGGTGTCAAAGTTTCACAGGCTCTACAAGAAGGCTTGGAGGCAGGAGGTTTTTGGGAATCAAGCATTCATCACCTGGTCCGCTCGCACCGCGGATCACTCTGGTCGGGCAATATCCAAATGCCCCGGATGGTGGGCGGAAGCCAGTACGGACCAAGCCGATGCTCATTCTTACGACGAAATCGCTGCGTTAATCCTGTCTGGCTTGAAGGCATACGACCCATCACTCGGTGGTTCAATGCCCCAGCTTTGGTCCAGCATGCAGAATCTGTTTTCACTTGGAGACCTCAAAGACGCAGACGACGACAAAGGTTCCTGGTCTCTTTGCGAGTACTTTCTTTGTCTTGCGACACAGTGCCCCACGGTTGTGTTCAGTTTTGCCACGGCCCAACGCGTTATCACTACGGACGACAAGTCGCCTCGCTTTTGGGAATTTTCGCTCGTGTTCGACCTGACATTAATTGTTCAACGCGCCGAGCCGTTGACGTGGATGTGGCTAGCGGCAGCCAAATTCTTTGCCCATCCTTGGACAGGCCCGGCTATCATTCCTCCCATTGTGGAGGAATTCGAGCGACTAGAACGAGAGTTGAAAATAGCCAAAGCTCAGTCCAAGTCTAAGAAGCGCCCTGCATCGACTCCAGAGAATCCAAAAGGTGCCAAGGCACACGATTCGCGCCCGTCTCCCTCTGTCCAGATGCAAACGGAACTGACGCCACCAAAGGGTCGGTCCAATCTTTACCAACGAACTCCTCCTTTGGATGCCACTCCTCCTCGCCAACAGGTGGTCATGTCTGACGCCGTTCAGGTCATTGCCGGCACCCCAACTGGAACACAGGAAGCCAGTCTTCCAGCTGACGACGTCGCGGTAGCCAACACCCATCGTGGGAGGACCAGTGCGGAAAATGGAGCAGAGGAACACAATAGTGCCCCAACCTACAGGGACACTGTTGCCGCTCTCCACGCTCCCACGGTTCCTGTCACCACCGACAAACGATTGATGCGCCTTCTCGCTGTCCATTGGAATGCATCTCCCTTTCGGCACATTACCATCTTCAATGTATCCGTTGTCTTTGATTGGCAGGGCGTCGGTTCGTCCGACTTCAATCAAGTCCAGACTGCCTACAACGCCTTCCATCAGTTTGCCTCCGGTATCTGGGGCGAGATCACTTTCACGGTCGTCCTTCTACCTTTTGCTGATGGCCAATTCACCGACAACAACTGTGGATCCGGAACTTGAAGGAGTTTGACGAAAAAGCCAAGGATTGGGCCCACCTGAAAATCTACCTCGATCCCAACTTCGGCAATCCTTACATCCTCAACAAACCTGGGAAGACTGGGTCCAAGACCTTCAAGACTCGCATGCGGTTCGGGATGGACACTGCCCCTCCCATCCTCATGCAAGAACTTTGCTCCGTCTTGTCCAGTGAGCCTTGGGTGGGCGTCTTCCCGACTCCAATCCAGGTTTCCGACATGGTCCGTCTTGGCTTCCTCCCGTTGCTACCACAAGAATTGGCGATTGGCCCGTACTGCAAAGACTTGATGCGTCTCTGCGACTTCCAGTACCCAATCGGCCTCATGCAAGAATGGGTCAACAATCCACGGTTCTTCTCTGCCAAATTCACTGGGTCTTCTTGAGGACTCCTGTGCTGGCACGTCTTTGTTCCAAAAGCCTTCGCTCGCGAGGCCGACCTGA